CAGTTTTGTGATAAAGGAATGGGTGTTAGAAACTTGCAGGGGCATTTTTGGCCTAGTTACTGACATCAGCCAAGCCAACACAGTCATGTCCGGACAGCAGTCAGTCTTTCGGTCACCCAGCCAACCTCAGCGATTGTGTCCCTAAAACGGACCACGCGGTAGATGCACTGGATCAGCACGGGTGTTAGGTATCCTGCAGGCGTTATTGGGGATGCACACCCACAACGAATGCCAACATTCATGATGTATAAAATCCTGGTCAGTGTCCGTTGTGGAACTGGGGGTGCGGTGGTTCGACCAGGTGCAGGTTTTTTTTTCGTGCCAGCTACCCGCGCCCTCCACTGCCTCCGGTCTTATTGGATCTGTCCTGAAACAGGGACCAGGTGGAGGAGGAGGAGGAGGAGGAGGAGGAGGAGGAGGAGAGAGAGAGTGTGGTAGATGGTACGCAAGTCCACTATTACCATAAAACAGTTCACACGCAAGTCGCCGCCTCTGCTCTCACCCTGTTGTGGAGCATACGGTGGACATCGTTAGCAACAACAGTCGAGCTGTCGTTCCTCCCCATTCGGAGGGAAAAGCGAAGATTAGAAAAAATTGTCGTTTTTCGCGCTTAGGCGTCATTACAGGCCTGTTGTGCTGCTGCACACATAGGTTTCATCGTTTGCCATGGAAGCTATGCAAAGTCAGAATTAAATGGAACTTGATCCAAAACAGACTGACTTTGCTACAATTTAAATACTACTTGTTTTCCTTGTAGTAATTTTCGGTCCACTCCTTTGTTGTTTGGGTTTGATAAGGGCAGCATATGTATTTCCGTTGAATTTGTTTCGCCCAAAAAAACCTTGTCACGCAGGAGCCTAAGCGCACTGAACAAGGCAGAACTTAATAATACTCTGAATGCTGCGGACGTTCTCCATGGTCTACTGTCTGTAAATTGTTCTTACCACTACAGTCTAGGAGAATATGACGGTCAGGACTTCCGGGATCGAATGAGTAAGTGGGTGGGATGCCTAGGTACCTTTCATCTTTTCATGACCCATCGTAAAGAAAATTTTCACGGTCGTATAACCTGAATTACGTTGACGTACACCAGAATAACCGAGGTTTTTTGACGTCTTAACGTGTGGCTCTGTCTCTTATAGAGGAATAGCAACCTTTCCTATAGCAAAATACATTGGATCAGCATCCTTCTGTGTTTTGTACAACAATATAATCCTGATTCTCACGACAGAGTTCTATGATTTGGGGAAAGAGGGCAGTTGTTCAGTGTCCTCTTCATCGAGCTGGTCAGGTAGGTCTAGCTCAGAGGGATTATATTCCCTCCATCGAAGAAAACGAGTGGAAGAGTGGTTGTCTCCTAACAAACAGAAGGCAGTGCAGTAGGTCGACCCGCAGCACTGGCAGTTGACTGCCCGTTCGGCTGCGCAGATCCACTACGAAATTGCACCGGGTGACTTGTCTTTAACCAGATGAATTCCGGTATCCTAACCTTCAGCGGGGCCTTTTTAACTGAAATGGCCCTCACCGAACCCCGAAAGCATTCAAATGAATTCCAAAAGCTCCAACAGCAGAATGTGACCTCTGTATCTGAGGCGAAGCAATCAACTTTACTAACGCCAAATAAGTAGTTTGTGAGTTTTAATATAACTAGACATGAGTCGGGAAGAACTAGGCTGATCGAGCACCGAAACCATTCGTATATTTGTTCAAGTTTTCTAACTCGTGGAAGAGTCCATCGTCAGAGATAAAAGCATCAACGGCACAGGCGACAGTGTAGGGGTACGAGCCTAAAAAAGAGCAGTCAGGCAGGTCAGCAGATGACTGCGCAGCGCGTGTGTCGTTGGTATTCGGTCGCATGCTCTAAGTTAAACCCACTCGCAGTTAGACTAGTCTGGCTCGAAAAATGGACGAGTTCCAGCTAGAACCAATCAGCCAACAATGAATTTGAACAAACCAGGTAGTTTACACGCCCACCAATAGACCCTCTCTAGAAGGCCAATAAGGAATTTGCGGACCCGATGAAGATTAATGCAGATGCTGTTCAAAATCATAGCTTCTGGTCCCTACAAGGACGGAGTTATGTCCAACCCGTCACGTAATAAAAGAACAGGGACGAATCTTACACCAAGAGGGTCAGAGCGGAAAACGTGGGAGCAGATTGTCCGAGAAAATGGTTTCTGTAGGTAATGGTTAATAGAACCCACAAAATAAAATTTGCTCTTGTAATATTTTACCTATCCCGTGAGTTCTCAGGCGTTCATTTTTATGCAAACGACGGTTTAGATCACTTTTATAGTCCACCTAGGTATAACAGCCAGTCGCCAAAGCGTGCTGACGTTCACAACGGAGGCCTGCACGCAATTTCCTCATAATCAAATGGAAACCTTAAACAAGTCCACTCTTAAAAGTTTGCTATGCTGGGGTACTTCGTAGATGAATGTGCATATCCTTCATCTTTTTTGGAGGCAAAGCCAGGGATAATTCAAAACTTGTTACCTGTCCACGCCATGGTACTAACAATTCTTCTTCTGCAAGCAAAACCCCCTTTTCTCTTCATTTTGGGGCCATGTTCGTTATCCATTGCAAGTTACGGGGCAGTTCTACGAAACCATAAACGCGCTTGGGCGCTACCATGAAAATAGTAAAATATATTTTGTAATGAAATTGCGCAATAGTTGAGAATAGGCCACGCGAAAGCACTTTACTACAAACTGAATATTTGAAGAAGGGTTGCTTATCGAATATTTGGTTAGACCTTGAAATTAACGTTGTGATAAGATAAACGGGTAAGACACGATAATAGTGCCGCCCCCGAGCGAAATTCAAGAAAAGTAAGCGTTATCGTGTCCTAAGCCTAACCCTGACCCTAATATTCACCCGAACTCTAAAGTTGTCCTTAATCCTAACCTTAGCATCAATCTTAAGCTCCCTAGAAATAAGCATTAAAACTCTCCGAAATAGTGTGAGGGGAGGATTTCCATTCTAGTGTCTTGTCAATAAAAGATTACCTGTTGGCGTTATTACTATCCTGTAAGGCACAAAACTGACATTTAGAAGTTAACATTTTTGCATAAGTAGCTTCTCTTTGTCCTGGAAAAAGCGTGGTTATTTACAGCTTGCCTCACCTGATTTACGCAAGAAGAAGAACCAATTTCACACTGACGAGGCTTGTGTTGCTAAACCTAGTTGATTGGAATTAATGTCCCCCATTACAGAAACGCGTGCAAATACGCAGATGTAGTATTGGCGGTTATTATCAAAAGGCACTGATTAGGCGTGACGAAGGATTGATAATTGTGCTAGAATGTACATTTGTCAGTAAATTAAATAACATAGGAACATATCCAAAGAAAGGAAAATTTTTCGCGAAACACGTTATGGTAAAACCCAAGGCACATGTCCCCCGAGACAGCCCTGACTGCAAATATGTATTTGCGTCAACACATTCCATCAGAGCTCGATTGGGCTCTACTACTACAACTACTACTACTACTACTACTACTACTACTACTACTACTACTACTACTACTACTACTACCACTACTACTACTACAAGCAGCGGCACCAGTGTCCTTCTCCAGGACCGCCAACCGTTTTACCAATTTTCCCTCCCTCTGCATAAACAACGCTCTGCACTTTTAAGCAACCTGTGGAGATATGCTCCTTTTTGATTCTGCAACAAAGGCCTTTGCTTCATTCATCCTCGCCCTACACAAAAGATACAAATGCAACCCTGGAAAGTCCCATACAAATTTTATCTCTATTCATGACTGACGAGAATTTTGGAGAATTACTTGATGCTGGTTAAGGTTGTTTTGCTTTGCCAAATCAGGCACTGCACTGGTCAGCAAACTAAACTCAAGCTAAAAACTGCTGCCTTCTTTGCGCTATCTCGAACCACGCAGTGCTTTTTAGAATTCAAATTTGCAATCAAATCACTTGATTACGAAAATGGTCCACATACTCTGATAGCGTACAACGGAGTTGAACTCATTTACAAAAATCCCTGACTAGCAGATGAGCCGTTTGATTAAATTTATGAAACAATGCGAATGAAATGCTGAACATTTGATGATAGATCACTGCGCACGAGCTGTCCTCGCTCCACTCTTGTGAACACAGTGAGGGCAAAGCACTGTTATTAGGGTAATTTATACATACAGGATTACATTTCAGGTAGATTCCAGTGTCTGCTATGCGGTCATCTGCTCATCTCCGACTCCAAACGGTCCACTGATGGTGATGATGATGAGGAGGACGGTGGAAAGGGGACCGGCAAACGAAGATACGGGAAAGGCAGTGTGGACAGTGCGTAGCAAAAAAACAGACAGCAGGAAAAGTGCCAATGTAATCAAGGCATTGTTGGGTTGCCATGATACTGTCAGTGTTTACATGCTTTTCCTTGTCTCATATCTTCCCGCAGCATTGGAGTACAGCCCCCGTTTTTTATACTCTGATATTTGCCGAATTTTCACGCATGATCTGTTTTGTAGTGAGGAAGGGGGTATTGCCGTTGAGGAGGGGGGAAATTTGGAGGGCCGACTCTGGCCTAGTTGCCGCCGTCAGCCAATTCCATCAAACAGGACAGATAAACGAGCCTCCCGTTTCAGGTGATTGAGACATTGTCGATCATAAGGCTGTTCCACCGCCGCAAGCCGCGACGTCCAGCTTGTGTCCCACGGAAAAAGCGCTCCATCGGTGATCCGCGTGTAAATTGGTTTGTGGAGAGACAGATTTGCGCTGGGTCTGCCGCACTGCATACCTCCCCACCTGCATAACTTCGATGACATGACAATGTCAAGGCGATCTGCGAACGGGCTTGGTTGCAGTGATTAACAAAGTTAAGCATGAGCGTGTCACACACGACACGTACGCCACAGAGTGTAGCAGGCGACTTTACAGGGCGATTCAGATCTCACATAAATGAGGATGCCATAAAGGTCGCATGGAGATGGATCCATTGCGACCTGACGGACAGTGCTGAGAATGACCAAGTTATCATGTCAGGTGGCAGACTTCCAAGTTCCGACATTTATGGATTCGTGATTGCGTTGATTTTCCATGGAAATGGCATCCCCAGTGTCGGCCTCACTCTCGCTTTCCTCTACCATGCACCTGTCGGCGATGAGATTGCCTGCAGTGGCGGACGCCGTGTTAGGCCCTACGTCGGGGTGAGCCACCACAAATCCCTCCCCACCTCCCATGTATGGCAATGATCATGGGCTCGCGCAAACTCTGTGCAGCCACGGTAACACGTGCTGGAAGCAAGTCGGGCACCCGTTGTGGCCCAGTGTGTGTACCAGCTCATGCTAGGTAGATAGAGGACAAGGTAAATGACTTGGCAGAAGTTCTTCTGGTGCTTTTTGATCGAGGGTTTGTAGCGGCTAAACAGTGAGAGTGTACTCCGAGCGCTACAAGCATCAGGCCAAATTCCGTGGTGGAGGGAAAGACAGAAGGCACCAGAATGAGGGGTATACAGAACCCTGAGTTGTCCCCTCTCAGTGAATAATATAGAGATTTTGAACGTTAAGAAACCTGACAACAGAGCACGACAGCGGAGCACGCTAGCAAGGCGGGTTGTACAGGTGTGTTGTTTTTCGTCACATCCGATAGTACTATCGGATGACTTGTAAATATTGGCCCTTATTTTAAAACGCCTTTAAGAGAGGGCTAAGTCGGAGTCCAAGTTATAAAGCACAGCCAATCAGAAACGGTAACAAGTCCACGCGAGACTGGATGGGCCATTGATGATTTAGCTGCCGTCATCCATTGAACCTAACCCACCCCAATGGAGACAAGGCCAGAGACTCGAAACCGGGTTCCTTGGTCAATGAAGTAACGCCGTATCGTTAACCTAAGAGTTCTTGCCCTTTCGTCTGTCCTCAGAAGCATCCAACGACGTACTGCAGTGGCGTCTACTGAGCTATCCTACCTGCAAAATACAACACAGACTTTCTGGATTACCATACGGATACGAGGTAGAACCAGTATGGTACACGATGATGATGGCAAGGCCAGCACTCGCCATATTAAGCTCCATCACAGCGTTGTTGGGTGGTTGTCGTTGCGCATCAGCATGGATGGACGGCAAGGCACAAAAAAGCGCCCCTCTTCTACCCTTAGGGTTAAGACGAATCGATTAAGTTAACACCTAGGTCAAGTCATTTTAGTGCATTTTTTGACGCTAGACCTACATTTTTTCAAGATTTACACACAGGCGGGTTGAAAGTTGAGCTTTTTTCTTCTTGGTATTCTTCCACTGTTCTGCGTAAGCTCACTCTAGCGCGTTTCAGCAACAACCCGCATTTACTAACTCCCTCTTGACGGGTCGGAAACGAAAGTGTCAATCCACCACCATAGGCGCCGAACCCATCCAGGCCCTTGAAATGTCACCTGATTTGTTTTCGTTCAATAGCCAACCGCTTTTGATGCACTGGGTGTGGTATCGTGTGACGGTCGCCGGCAGTCATGCGTCTGAAAGCTAATCGGTGCATGTGACTGTACTTTGCACGCACCTAGCACCCGAGGAACATCCTCGGCACTAAGAGAGAGAGAGAGAGAGAGAGAGAGAGAGAGAGAGAGAGAGAGCAAATCGGGAGGATCTCTTCTGCCTTATCTACCGTTATCAGCCAGTCACGGGCTAACTGCAGACACGGGAGAACCGAAGCTAGAACCCGCCTTACAACCGAGCCGTGAATTCACACACTGTCGGCAGAAGCCTCTTGGTGTTTTTGTGGGGCACAAGGTCTTCTCTGGGTGCCCCGGCTGAAGCACGTCTGCATTCACGTCCTATCAGCGCATGTGGCCCTGAACATCATGCATATGGAGCCCCTCTCCCCCCCCCCCTCGCCCATGGACTGCTTTCGGTAGACAGACCTGCAGGCCGGAAGTGGAAACAGTTCGTGCTGGCTGACATGAAGATGCGCCGCCTATTGATAACCGATTAAACACTTCGGGCTGTAGCTTTAATTCCTCCCCGTCTGGAGTTTGACCGTGACTGACTGATGACGGTGGATGAGGCAGATCTGATCCTTCTGATCTGCTTTCTCACTGCCGACTATGTTCCTCAGGTGCTGAATGCGTACAAAGTACAGTCACATGCACTGATTAGCTTTCAGACGCATGACTGCTGGCGAATGTCACACGACACCACACCCAGGGCATCAACGACGGTTGGCTATTAAACGAAAAGAAAACCGCGTGATATATCGGCGACCTGTATGGGTGCGGCGCCTATAGCAGTGAACTGACACTTTTATTTCCGACCCGACAAGGAGGAGTTGGAAAATGCTGGTTGCTGTTGAAACGGGCTAGATTGAGCTCACACAGAACTATGAAATAATGCCAAGTATGCTAGTAAACAGTGCCAGCTTTCCTTGTTTTATTTCTAAGGGAACTAATGCCCAAACTTGGAGCAAATCCTTCGGAACAGACCTTTTCAGGCACGGTCCAAAGTTTGATATGAATATTTGAGCTGCGTCAGGCGGCGGCATAAGATAGGCGAAACACACGGATCTGGGCTTTTTGATAATACCTGTGCTGTTAGTACGGTGAATCATGGCACATTTCTATTTTACTGGCTGCCTGTTGGCGGTTTGTGAATATCAGGCGGTTATTCCGCAGTAGCTGAAGAATTTCAGCTCAAATATCCTTATCAAACTTTGGAACGTGCCTGAAAAGGTCTATTTCGAAAGATTTGTTCCAGGTTCGCGCACTAGTTTCCTCGGAAATCAAATAAGGCAAATCGAAACTGAAGTTCATATACCAGAAAACACACGGGGAAAGCTGGGGGACCCACTGACGAGCTGGACTCCTCTCAGCTTCGTCAGGCAGCGGCGTGAGATCGGCAAAACACGCGTGTCTGGGCTCTTACTTAATACCTGTATTGTTTGTCCGGTAAATCATTGCACAATTCAATGTTAGCTTTGTTTCACACCTGCAAGACAATCCAGGACTTCTGTGTTGCATTCTGCATAGTGCGATAGACGTGCCTGACGCTTTATGTGAGATGTTTGTCAGACAATCGAGAGGGCTAGAGCTCTTGTGCTGATCTAATGGCCAAGGAACCCGGGTTTGAGTCTTTAGTCTTACCTGCATTGGCTCGGGTAAGGTCCGGTGGATGACCGAAAATAAGTTATCAATGGCCCACCCAGTCTCGCGTGGTTTTGTTGACGGTATTTTTAGCTTTACCGAGTTAGTGGAATGAGATTTAAAATACATGAACTGACAGATTTTACCGTAGATATGCTAACTCATGAAGTGTTAATCGAAATTCTGAAATGGGTTTTTGACTCAAAAAGATTACTTAAATAGGGTTGCAATATTAACCCTTGTACAGCACAATCCTATAATAATTCAGTTACTAAAGGATGCCGGCTTTTGAACTAACTCATTACGTCTTCCTCTAATTTTATGCTTGAAGGAGGGGTACGATTCGGGTTTCAAGAAGCTTCTAATTATGAGATTTTTTGAGGCCGTAGAGTGTCCATTCATAAAATATCGTGTTCCTGCACTTGCTAATATTGCTTATTAATTTTAAAATATGGCTCAAGTCCACTGCTGAATTTTATGAACCAAACATTGTCTCCTCTTAATACCGTAGACAAATGAATGATTTTCCCTACGCCTAGTTTGGAAGCCCCGAATGCAAGTGTAACGACCGGTCGGGTTTAAAATTATTCTGAGATTGTAAAAAGTTCTTTTAAAACTGAATTACGTCCTTTCTTCAAGTACGGGATTTGAAGAAGACGTGATTTTTCCACAGGTCTGGTGAGCTCTCACACAAGAAGTAACTAGAATCAGCAGGTTTCGACTGTTTTTTTTGCCGCCATTATTTTCACTGACGGATGCTGTGACAACCGATTCTACCTGAATTAACACTTGCATTCTGCCAAATTCCCCGTCTACAACCAAAGGCGCATCGGTACATCATACTGCCTTATAATTGTAGGACGGCCATCTCCTAAGCACTGCTATTAACAGCATTGAACTACATTGTGATCGAATCTTGTTCGTGTTAACAGCCGTTGCTTTTTACAATGCCATACAGATTAATCGATTGACCTATGTAAAACCGTCCAAATGTTGGCTAAATAAAAGCTACAGCAAACTCTGTTATCGCGCCAGGCGTGACGGGCTGCCGGCCAAGTCCATGGCCTTGACTACAAACGCTGCCGCTTATCGATCGACATCGCAAGAACGTTGTACCCACACTTGACGAAGCTTCGCAGCCTGGATACTGTAGGGGCGTTTGCCGAAGCATACGCACGCACAGGGTGGAGCGGCCCGTATGTTCCAGAAACAGCTGAGACTATCGCGAGCGTTCCACAATTATGTGCACGTGCATGCCTTCGTTATTCCGGCCAGTGCCCGTAAATCAACTGTTCAGGACCTTGTGCCCCACAAAAGTACCAAGGCGCTACAGCCGACAGTATGTGAGCTCACAACTCAAAGGTAGGGGGAGCGCTGGCTTACTGATCAAACAGCCTAGATTCTAGCTTCGGCTCTTCCCTGCCTGGGTGGATTTTGCTGGTCAATTGGAGTAGCGTGTTGTGAAATCGATCGATTAGTGAGCAGATTTTGCCACCAAGGCACTCGCGTGCCTTAGTTCTCTCGGAAAATGTCTGTGAGTAAAGTTGGATGTCTACCCCGGTCAACCGGAGTAACGTATCGCTGTGACGTGAATCGATAAGCAAGCAGGCTTCACTATCAAGGTCATGCACTCAGCCAAGTCCTACTCTCACCGAAACGGAAACGAACTCTGACACACGGGCAATGATAGCGAGACAGCTAAAGGCGGTGAAATGAACCGTTGAAGAGGGGATCTAGTTAGTGGTTTGTTAAAATAAGTAATGTGGTTTAGATCCTAGCGAGGCCGCTCAAAATTTAATTTCCAGAAATGTTGGGAAGGGGATCAACCAGTCGCAACCCATTTTGGAAGGCGGGGAAGGCATTTCTAAAGCAGTCCTCGCTCGCGGTTTACCTCGGTGTGACATCCATGCACTCCAACGAAAGTTTATGGTGTTATGCAAAGATAAAAGGGAGTAGCCTTAAAATAGAGTTCTGCAGCATGCCCAAAATTGCGGCACCTCCAGGAGTGCTGGGAACAAAGTGCTAAAACATGTGGTTTCTGGGCATACCAGACTGCTTGGCTGTAGGAATTTCGGTTCAATTATACAGAGAGTTGAGAAGAATTTTGTCCATTTTTTTCTATCAGAAGGGTAAATTCAGGGAATCCCCTCCACTGATGATGCCATATCCTGTCTGCCTCATTTCTTAGATACTGGAAAGCTTTTTTGTTTAGTCTCGAGTGAAAACAGAATAATAAGAAGGTCGGTACTTAGTCTTGTATTTTGTGAAGGGAATTACTACACTATTTCTCAAATAAATACGTTTCATTTGGGATTGGTGCTAAAATAAACTAATTTTTTCCCAGTTTCAGCGTAGTCTTGTGATTCCTGCGTCAGAGAGTCATGGGGTACGTGACCATGTGTGATTTCAATAGAACGGATCCGTTCCACACTATGACCATATCGTACACAACTGCTTCCAGGGGTGCTTCGACATTTACTGGATTGGTCGAGGGTTCGTGAAGTCGATAGAAGAGAAGAGGAAAGTTTCAGAAAGTAGTCTCGAGGCCGAAGAAGAAGAGGAGGGGGAGGAGGAGGAGGAGGAGGAGAAGGAGGAGGAGGAGGAGGAAGGAGAAGAAGAAGAAGAGGGGGAGGAGGAGGAGGAAGAAGAAGAAGAAGAAGAAGAGGAAGAAGAAAAGGAGGAGGAGGAGGAGGAGGAGGAGGAGGAGGTGGGGGAGGTGGGGGAGGAGGAAGAAGAAGAAGAAGAGGAAGAAGGAGGGGGAAACACGATCACTGGAATAAGAATTTCATTTGCTTGACGTCTTGTATTCACACTCCAGTCCATCGGTGAGCCGATCGCGCGCGCCCATCCACCATGTGCGCACTCGTGCCTTAGTTCTCTCCATAAACATCTGTAAACAAACCTGGATTTTAACCTCAGTCAATTGGGGTAACGCATCGCTGTGACGTGAATCGATAAGCGAGCAGGCTTCACTTTCAAGGTCATACACTCAGCCAGGTCCTACTCTCTCGCCGAAATGGAAACTAACTCTGACAGAGGGGCGTCGATAGCGGAACAGACAAGCCCGGCGCCATGAACCGTTGACGATGAGGTTCTTTCTTTATCGAGAATTTTGTTTAAATCCTGCTGAGGCCGTTTGAAAGCTCATTCCCAGAAATGCGGGCAAGGGGATCAGTTGGTCACATGTCATTTCGGCGGGTACCTTAACATTCTAAACCAGACATCGTTTTAGATTTACCGAGAAGTGGCCGATCATGTACCTCAACTGATGACATAAGCGCCTATGGTTTTGCACAAAAAGTACTGAATAGACCAAGAATTTGGTTCGTCGGTTTGCCCAAAAATACTACACCATCAAAAGAAATGCTCACACAATACTAGACGAATATTACTCTCGGCCACGCTGTGCTGTTTGACTTTAGAAACGTTGATTCAATATCGGACACCGGTGACGGGAATTCTATTTGTAGTTTCTACTAGTTGGAGGAGTTCGGGGATCCCCCGTCACCGATGGAGTCCTATACTGTCTGAACGAAACGACAGAGAAGCTTTTGTCTTTCGGCACCGGCAACCCGTGCAGTTTACTTCCGACTGGAGGACAGAATGATAAGAAGATCACTGATGCGGATTTTTCTGTACTTGCAAACATTTCGCCAGTGCATTTAAACTGAGATCACAGAGGCCGCAGACTGACGTACTGCATAATTCCTGCCATCGGCGCGGAACTTTTATTGAATCTGGGGAACACCAGCTAAGGCATTAAGGCGGACTTTTATTCAAGGATTCGCGTTGACTGCAATAAACTACAGCCCCATAGCATGTGATTTAATCCTAAATTGGCGATGATGCGTTTTGTGTGCAGACAGTTCTTCTGTCATGCTATTAGTAGGTCCAAACGACTTTTTATCACCTAAGGGAATCCTTATCAAGGAGGTACATTCTGTTGTCGGCTTGATTTTTGGAGTTAAACCATATTCACATATTTTTTAAGGTCGTGATGGCGCGAATTGTTTTTCTGTTTCTCCTCAGATGATTCGGTGCCGACCAAAATAGAAAAAAAATTAATATTTTATATGTTAGCCAAATTGCTGGCAACGGTAGGGTGTATGACCCACAAATAGATGGCCACTCCAAAAATATGCCCTAAAATTCAGTGTGACTGTAAACATCACTTATTATTCACCGTTCCTATTGTTTGAAATTTCTTTCCTTTCCTGACTAAATGTAAACTTACCAGCGGCGCTCTGTTTAAAGTCCGTCAATCTCTGAAAATTGCTTTTTCTTTATTTTTTTAATTATTGCGCTCACTTTCTCTGCCAAATGACAGCGTACAATAAGACGTTCGGTAGAAATTGATCTATTTTCTATGTGTTCTTGCTCTCCGTCCTGTGTTGTCCCACCCGTAAAACCCTCTCGACCACCATTCAACGTGTGACCAGGTCCACACGCTAGCTCAAGTTAGTTGTGGGTCCTACGCCCTATTGTTGCCAAATTATGTTTTCTAGGGCTAGGAACGCTCGCCACAAATGGCCGTACAACGGCGGGTCCGTTGGTCGTCAGTGGATACACACTAACCAGCAAAAAATTGACAGTTACATTTACGGTGAAAGACGAATACCTCAGTGCTCATTCCGGTGGCTACACAGAGTCTGTTATTACTTTTTGCGCCGCTGCTTCAGATAATAAAACTTACTAGTGATCGTAACTAAGTGCGGGACAGCCAATCGGACCTTCTCTGCCAGTGCCTTTTCCAATAAAACAAATGAGATTGCTCGGACATCCGCAGGACCTGACTAATTTTCTAAGGCCCCAAACTCATACGGCCGTCCATCACGATAGGTGAAGAAGACAGGCACGTGTAGAACAATGCAAACAACCGGCCTTCGGTCGTGCAGGTTTGAAATGACTGCGTATAAGTACTGCGCGCACTTGAAGGTATGAAACAACGTTTTCGAGGCGACTGCACACACTGTCGTAGGCAAGGTTTCAATACAGCGATCCAGTCAAAAGCCATTATGCTCAAATTAGCCATGAGAGCCGAGGAGTGAATCAACCCTAGTAAGAGTCTACCGTAGTCGGTGGTATCGCATGCCTTAGCTGTCCGCATTGTGATTGAGGTCAGAGTGTGCGTAGACGGGGATCCGGCAGTGATTTCAATTACACTTGGATCCCACCAAAAGCTGAGGTTCTATTCTTACCTGCACTGAAAGGCAGCGTTAGGCTTCTCGTCAGAAACGAACTCGCTCTGGACTGGTTTACTGTTAACTGTGGTAGAGGGGTGCTTACCGATCGTTTATACGGAACTAATTCGCCCCGTTTTGCCTTACGGGCTCTCTCTCTCTCGAGCCCAACCAGCAGCCGCACAGCGGCGCATGGTATAGGCAGTATAGTATTACCGACAAAGACAAGGGAGACTAGAATGGCCATTTCTGGCGTTTTAGTCGTCGTCAGCCAGTCATGCCCAAACCCGAAGTGTGGAACACCTGGGGCCCAATCCGGGACGAGTTAGTTCCATCGATCCCCGGTTGTTCTTTATTCTGAAACTCAAAGAACTCTACTGTCACCAAAAAGTCACTCAGCAATTTACGGAAGAAAGTCCTCCTTACACACCCATAATTGCAGACCTACGGTTGGATGTGCTACTTTTGTTCCAATTTATAAGTTACTGACCGACGTGTAAGCATATGACTTTATGGAAGCTTTTGCTTTATGTGCCTCCAAAACTTAAGTTTACACATTTAAGACGAATTTGTGCGTCTTTGGCATTTCCGCTTTCATCGAGAAAATTGTTATTTCTGACCGACGAAATGGTACTTCAAACATTTAGTTTACGTTTTTAATTAACCAGATGCCATTCACTATTACTTTGGTGTTTTGGTGGATGATTTGTACTGATTTCAGATTGGTTAGTGACTTTTCACTAGTTTAGGCATATTTACTAAGTTGGGCCACCTACTGTACAGTCTGCTCACTTATTTTGCTAACTTAATGCATTAGGCGGAGCATGATTAAAGCCAAAATACTCATTAAAGGCGATCTTGCTGTTAGCTAGCAGGTACTTTTGAAGTAAGTCCTCCCACTTGCCGGGTTTTATTTGGCCATTTCCCAAGCTGCGAGTCCCAGCAGTCCTACTTAAACATTAACGGTCTGGTGGTTATGAGATATGGCAGCAGGGGAAGTGATTGAATCGTTTTCTACTTGAAGCTTTGCTAGTCTTTGCAAACAAAAATCTCGACAGGGGAGACTAGATCGCCTCGAAAGTCTCTACCAACTCGCAATATATACGTGGGTCCATTTCACATTTATTAGGCAGCGGATTTGCCTACCCCCTGTGATTAATGTGAGCCGTTAGGTTCTGGGGGAATAGCGCTAAAGATTTTCTTTTGCCTCTAGGCGGCCTACAAATGCATGCATTGGTTGTCCATCAGGTCTTCGCAACCTTGCACAGCCAACGCTTTCTCGTTTACGAAGTCCCCGACACCGGTTTCTTGGTATGCGAATGATGCACCCTGTGCGTCTGCTAGCCACCTTCTGATTGGATCAAAAAGTGTTTACCACAAAAAGGCCGTATGTTGAGAGCTTTGACCTTGAGCCGGAGCGCTGAGGGACATATCCTCTCGGCCTATCAGGAATCGTCCAGGGTTGTCGCTTTACGCCAGCTCTCTGCCTTTCTCCCGGCATTCTTGCGCTGTCAGCTTTGTCGGTTGTATTTCTCATGTCATCAGGCCCTCGTAACACATTCCCTGTGGACAAAAGGGATCACACATTTGAGCAGTATCGACGCAACCTCTTTAGTGGCTTGCAGGAGAGTTGTGGATGGACGCCCGCATTACCAGCCGTTGTTCCAAAGCCTTCTGGGCCAGGCTTGTGGATGACAGAGTACACCACCTGGTTTCCACAAGTCAATCGTTGGCTCCAGGAGTCGCAGCGAGAATTCTCCCGTGACTTGGCCTTGTTGTATAATGGACTGTTTGAACTTGAGGTTAGCGCCTCCCCTTGCATGCCAGTGCCGCATACTGCTTGAGTGCATTTTTCTCAACTGTGAGTCAATTAGGTAATAGAGCCTAGTGAAACAGCTTGCTGTATATATCCATCCTTGCCTGAGGCAGCACCGAAAACCTGCCATTTTCCCGTCGTGGTAGTAGAATTTCCTCATTTTAGTACGTATCCTTTGTATGCTCCCTCATCTCGCTGTTCTTCACTATTCGTTTCCGCTCGATAATATAATACCAGGACATTATGCAACGACCAAACACATTGCTGGCCTGACCGTTGAAAAAGTTGCTCATCTCCTTTGCTCTGACCTGCAGTGGGTGGCGTATCCCGTGAAACATCGGCGTATCTAATGAAGAATTATCCGAAACTCTGAAATGTGTTTTCGATTAGAAAGGATTACCTAGGTAGCGTTGTAGTACTGAATATCGCACAGCATAATCGAAATATATTTAAGTCACGCCAAGATGCCGGCTTTTCAATAGAGTTCCTTCCGGTCGCCTGTAAAAACTACAGTCGGCAAAAATTACTACCTAACTGGTCTGACTTTTCCTCATCGATTACCTAAGTCTTTAGAAATTTATAAAAAACCACACGCGGAAATATTATTGCTTGTATTCATCTAACACTTAATTGCATACTGCGCAAATCTGATTCTTTAAGAGACAGAGCCTTTCAGTTTTGAAGAAAGTTTTTCAATTCTAAAAAAATCTTGAACCGAACCTGCCGTTACACTTCAGTTTGGGATTTTCAAACTACAAACAGTACTCCTTCCACATAGGGAAAATAATGCATTTCAATGTGCTTTTAAGAAGCTGCCATACATCAAATCAGAGTAGGTCTAATCAATGTATTTGGAGTAGATGACAGATGTTCTTGCGAACTCATTTTAAAAAAGCACAATTCGACATAGACAGCAGTTAAGTTGGAAAGATCTGCAAGTAATTGCAGCATGTGAAATGCGTAAGACAAACAGAGGAGCAGAAATGTTAAAAGCTGATGAATTTGCTAAATAACAACGAACAACATATTGACCGCATTTGCGAGCTGTGTTTGGCGCTGTTAAAGTTGACGTACGCATAATGGGCTATTGAAATCAAAAGAGTAGCACGTTTTAGTTTTGGTTAACCAACCAGACGCCTTCTAAACACGCGTTGGTGGAATGCACGACATGCGCCGGTAAGGAATTCCACCGTGGAATGACTGCGAGAAAAAGAAGGAATGCTGGTTGGTACGACACAGTTACTTCCTAATTTGGCAATCATGACGTCGAAGACTTGTCTTCGGTATTATTTTCAAAAGATTTTCCCAATTCACACCAAGACCACGTCCCCGTAGCGACTGAAACGTTGGTATAAGGTCACCTCTATCTTGTCTATAACAGAAGGCGTAGAGGTTTAAGGGGGTCAGGCACTGTTTGGGTGTCAAACTTTTGAGTTCAAGGACGACTTTTGTTGCACGTCGTTATGCACCTTCAAGAGTATCTATAGGGCTCATATAATTTTGCAAACGATACGGAGTATGTTGTATACGACGTAAAGAACATTAGTAAACAAACAGATACGATAACCCTTAGGTGGACATTTCACGGTCCCAGGACTTCAGAATTTAACGCTTTTTTAAGACCGGAAATGATCCCTTCCTCAAGTATAACATTTAAAGATGTAATTTACTATCAGGTGAGTACCAGAAAGGACACTATCGTGCTTGAGGCCTAAAATATATGTCTGAGGGAGGGAGCCGTTAATTTTGATAGGTTTGAGGTACCATAGCAACAGCATCCATTGTACATGAACTACCATATTATCTGCTTCTGTCTTTGTTGATGGCTTCGTTCATGAATTTAAACCGTCAGTTATATAAACTTTCTGCTCCAGCAATTGCGTCTAGTTCTTTTAAAATGCTTAAATCTATAGGAAAATCGATGGAAAACGCACTATTCAAGTATCCACTTTTGTCTAGTGCAGCTTTCCCAGTCGGTCAAAAAGGGGCACATTCAAAGACCGGCATCCAAGAGTGACTGAAAACTCTTGGAATTATGCTGGACGGCAATAAATATTACAGTCACACCCAAATAATCCTTTCCAATGGAAGGCAAATTTCAGAAATTTAGTTAACGTCTTATGAGCTATGACATCTACTGTAACTGTTGCGAAGTCTGTCCGCACGATCCCGTGTGGCTGACGACATATCTCCTGTCATGCACTTTTTTTCACAAACAACCGGTCCTACGATTCTTGGCACAATTCTGGAAATATTACGAGACCGAAATACCTGATCAGCATTCAGCTTGTTGCGTTGTGTAATTTTTTTACATCGTTACTGATACATCGCCCGATTTTATTGCCGACCAAGATGGATGACCAACAGTTCTTGCTGGAAATCTTCGAAAATGTTATTACCGACAAAGACAAGGGAGACTGGAATTGCCATTTCTGACTTATTGGCCATCGTCAGCCAGTCATACCCAACCCCAAAGTGTGCAACACCTGGGGCTCAGTGGTTAGAGGCGTTGGACTTCTAAATAATAGGTCGCGAGTTCGGGCCCCAGGAATATAGGCAGAATGAAATTATTTACAAAGACAAGGAAGACTGGAATGACCATTTCCGGCTTGTTGGTCGTCATCAGTCGGCCATGTCTAACCCGGAAGTATGCAGACCCCCCGAGGCTCGAGCTCGCGACCTGTTGTTCCGCAGTCCAACACCCCAGCTCATTGTTCTGCCAGTTGCGATCGAGTATTGTTTCAGGGAAACAATTCAGGCCTGATTGGTCAATTTCTATGTCAAAATTGGTTCTCACTGGTTTACGCATATTTATGAGAATGTATGCAAAAGAAATGTCGCTAATTACATTCTGCCTATATCATCCGCCGCTGTGCGGCTGCTGATTAGGCTCGAGAGAGCCTGCAAGGCACAACGGAACGAGTGAGTTCCGTAAAAACAATCAGTGATCGTCTCTCTACCAATCTTCGAAAAGCTGCTTCAAAGAAGGACATCTTCGCTGTTGCACCCTCTGAGGCGTGTCAGTTGGATCATGCTAGACAAGGGGTATTAAATGTTCTTTGTTCAAAAGTTTCCTGGCGTGTACTCATTAGTTGCCCACCCGATTTACTGCGCAATTAGTATCTCACGTTTCAGAGTACTAATACCCCTTCTCTGCTTATAAATGCAGCCGCTGGAGTCGTTTGGACTCGTTCCTGGCCAAACCGTCTTTGAAGGTATCAGACGTCGAATGCATCGTCTGTCGGAGGACCTGGATAAGCATCTGGGGGCAGCCCAGGAGCCCTCGGGCGAAGTAATGCAGGTTGACGACGCCGGAGCCGTTGTAGGACAACCGAACGTGGCCGCCGAGGAATTCGGCTTCCTAAGTGATGCATATGAAGTCGGTCCAGACGGACGGGTTAGTAAACTGCTACTGATAACTGCGCCCTGCCCACTTCCGTTGATAAAGTTGAATGCTCCACCCCAGCTGTTGATTTACATTTCACCAACCGCCCTTGTCTGATCCTATGTTTTGTTTGGATTCCCCTAGCTCATGTTCAAGGCTCGTTTCAACACGAAGGGTTTCGAGGCCGGAGATATCAATGTGTCAACGGATGAGAACAAGTTGGTAGTGCATGCCAAAAGAACGGAAACTAAGGATGGTGCCACATGCAGCCGCGAATACTGTCGATCGGTCTTCTTGCCAGAAGCAGTCCAGAGGAAGGACTTCAAGGCAAATCTGACCACGGTAACCCTCTCTTTTGATTGCATGCAGGGATGCTGTAACATCGGTTGGCATGCATTACAACGCAAGTACAGTACTATTCAGTGGGAATGCATACATCCTCGAACCGTATTCTGTTGAAGTGGAAGTAGTGCTGAGTATTGGGTAATGAAGTCTATCTTTCTGATCAGACACGCCTGACGCTTGTCACTAAGGCGTATTTAGACAGTTTCAATGAAATATAGGCAGAACGACATAATCAACCACGACAAGGGAGACTGAAATGCTCATTTCTGGCTTGTTGGCTGTTATCGGTCAGCCATACCCAGCCCCTAACTATGCAACCTACTAGCCAGAAGTCCAACGCCCTAACCGTTGAGTTACGGACTCGTTCTCTTGTCGGTTGCGATCGGGTCTTGTATCATGGAAACAGCTCAGACCTGATAGGTCGATTCCCACGTCTAAATCGGTTATCTCGTTGATTTCAGCATAATTTGTGTGAATAGATGCAAAAGGAACGAAAAGCCCCGAACAGTGAAATTGCTTTCTCGGTACTCGACCCGTTTTTTGTATATTCAAAGACAAACGCTCCACTTGCAACGGTCTGGCTTGCAGTGTGTACGCACAGCCACCAGCCAGCATCCAATTGCAAACTGGCTAATTTGTAAACAGCGGTGATCGCTTCTTGCGCGTGGCAGGAGAATTAAGGAGCCTAGTGTCGACTCTATTCCTCGCAGAGCTGTCTGTAGTAGATTGCAACCGTTTGGCGAATGGTACTCTATAGCAAAACTTGTCGATGCGCGCAACCTCCAATGCCCTAGGGAGCTGGCGTGACATCAACACGCACACGGCGTGCGGGCGTGTCAGTTAGGCCGGCTCTGAAAGGATCGATGTGGGGACTGGCCTACTTCCTGAACTTGCGCGCAAGTTTCTTAAGGCCTTCGGCTAGATCGCAGTTGGTAGCCAGGTCCCGTATTACAGGTGGCTGGGGGGTTTGCTTACTGGGACTATTTTTTGGGGTTCCATAATCACATCGGACTCATTTGACTTCCGTTTTACGTCTGAGGTTAGGATTAGGGTGCCGGTTAATGGTTTCCGATTTTCGGGTTAGGGTTATGCTTTTAGGCTTAGCTTTTCGGGTTACGGTTAGGGTTTGAGCGTACGGTAAGGTTTCAGTATTACAGTTAGGTTTCTCAGTTACGGCTTTGTCTAAAGACTACGATTACGTTTACGATTTCGGTTAGGGCTAGGGTTATCGGTTAACGTTTGAGGTCTAGGTTAGGGTTAAGGTTAGGATTAGGGTTAAGGTCGCCGTCCGCTTCCCCATTCCTGGCTACCAACTGCGATCTAACCAGGCCTTCTTTGAGGCCTTTGACTACAAGCTAGTGCGCATGTAACCTTGCCTTTTGCAACATTGGAAACTCAGACCTTGCCCCCCCCCAAGCCGTAGGAAGTCATGTGTATGTGTAGATTAAGACAACGCATGCATCTGTAACTGTAAATACGATGCCACGAGGTTGACGGTTTTGAACGTGAACATCTGGCACGATTCACTCATTTATTTATTTAATTTTCACATACAGCACTCTTATAATGTTCCGCTACTACTTTTACGTACGGCCATCTACATTTGCCGAAGCATCTTGAACTGGGATTTACTAAGTGCGGTTTCGTGTCGAGTTGTCGGATGAAAATAACGAAGGCTGCTAATCCAAAGTGTGCGCTTACAGCACGATATAACAAGCAGAAGGGGGTCTTATCTAACAAGTAAGCACAAAGATTGAGATGACCACCGCTGACTGACTAATGCAACGCAGACGGGATAAGGTGAAGTCCAGATAATCATCAAATAAATCAGCCACTATTTGGCTAATGGGCCGACACGATCAACTGAGATATTTTTCATTCATTGACAAGCCGATGAGTCTTTTTGCCCATTTGCATACACTGGAGCAGAAGCGGGGGAATAGACGGGAAACCGGCGGAGTGTCAAACGGAGACTGCGTATTCGCCGAAATGCCTAGGCAAAAAGTGAGGTGGCTTGTAGGCCGCCTTCCATACCACAAAAGCCACCATAATTGAAGATAGTTTTTCCCTCCCTTGGTGAGCTTTTGAAGAATGTCGTTAATTTTGTCTCCCAGGATTGCTTACTATATCTGAAACCTGGGGTCCATTCACAAAGTGTTCTCACAGTTTTGGAGAACCAAGTGTTCATTGTTTGCGCAATACTCCTTTTCAAATGCTTGAATCCGCAAGGCAATCGGGTATTGCGCTTTATCCCCGACTGACAATCAGAACATGCAGTTGTGGGATTTCTTTAGAACATAGTGCAGCGTTCTAAGTAAGTACTTTTCATTACGCAAGATCCCGACTAACGCCCATCCTTTTTCTATTACCCATTAATCTTGTGCAATAAACCTTCATTTTCCAAACTCAGAACTTACGCGTTTGCTGAAAAAAGCTGGAGCCGGAAACCCCTACCTTTGTATGAAGACACAGCAAGATGTCGGCTAGCAATTGAAAATGCATTGTTCTGCACTCGGAACATTTCGCTAGTAACCTTTGAAGCTAGCCGCGCTTCATGTTTCTTCTCTTTTTTCTGTCCCAAGGATGGTGTGCTCATTCTTGAGGCCCCAGTTAAAGAGCCGGACTACAACGCCATTACCTTCGATGCCAACCGGAAACTTTGTGTCCATCCGAAGTCGCCTTCACCAGGGGGCGAAACAACTGGAAAGGAGTTGGTGGCTACTGGTGGGTTGCTTCCGCTCCTGTAGAGCATCCTGGACTCTACTTTTTATGTGGAACTTTTGAACCATATTGAACCAGTCTGGACTGTCTTTTAGGCAATGTTTACGCGCATACCGAGTCCATGGTTGACCCTGAAGCACAAATCTGCTTTCCATTGGCCACTTCAAGGACATGTTCTCACTCATTTGTCTCGCCGATCGGCAACGACTTTGAGCTTTCTCGATGATGGGCTAGCTGATGCAGACTTCCTTTCATGGCTTTGTCATGTTCCCGACCCACATGGTTAATAGCATTTAAAGGACATCCTATTTTTCGGACGTCCCTCTAATAAGAAATCCCTTCCAGTAGTGGGCATAAAACATGGCCCGGTGGGAGAATGAAACGTCGATAAAAATACACACCCAGAAAACGAGTGACTCAAATTTACTTCATTAAGCTACCGGATCCTGCAGGGTCAGATAATGTTTTAGTTCGTTTTCGTTGGATAACAACACTGTGTATCCGATGCACCTTGGCAGGCCCCATCCTAGATAAGTGGCTAATGTTGACGCACCGATTGTTGGTTGTTGGGGCACCGACACTGCAATAACGGCCTTTAAATTTACAGGTTATATCAGGCAGCCTAGAGTGATCATGCAAATTAGACGAACAGATTTCACTTCCTAAGCAAGGCTAAATGCATTTTTGGGAAATCGGCGCATTCCATGTTGACTGGGGTTTTTTAGTAGAGCAGCCGAAGTGTCGGTCGAAGTGCGGTAGTCGACAGTGAGGGGTTTTCCGAATCAGAAGTTGTGGAGACAAAGTAGGACGGTCTTAGCTACTGCAGAGGGCGTGAAGGCACCTCAGAGGTCGGTAGCAGCAGTTCCGTCGCGCCGTGAGCTAGCTGTTATTATTATTATTATTATTATTGACCACGGCGTGAGATGCAGTGTCCATCTGCAGCCAATCAGCAAACGGCATAACGCTGGTCGGCGTCAGGCTGTCGCCATGCCGGAGGCTGAAATACGCACCGCACAGGTGTTTGGTTGGCAAGGCGCGCTGGGCGAACCAGATCATGGATTTCCTGTTTTCTACATGTCTGCGCGCTCCTACTTCGCACACTCCAGATTGCACGTCTATCCCGGCACCCCTTTAGAGTAATAAAACGAATATACGCCAAAAGTGCAAGTATTCTCAATGCCTTCCACGGAGTCCGTTAATTGCGTCTCTCATCTGCATTACTGGCAAAGCCAATATTAACATCCTTCCTGATTTACAAAAATCCCTGTGCTCTATTTTCTCGGTAGACTTTCGAACCAAATCCTTGACGTTCTTTTCGACCTCTACATCCTCTCTTAGGTAAATCCGGTCTAACGGTGGCAGAGGACGGCAAGGGCGGAAAGAAGGTGCACTTGGAAGTTGACGTTGGACCCCAGTATTCGCCCAACGACGTTTCTGTGCGCATGGACGCCAACAGGATTGTAGTTACTGGCTCTAGGGACAACAAGTACTCACATGCTACGACCACTGGAACGTTTGAGGGTTCAGAGAGTGAACACTTTTCGAAGGCCTTTTCCTTGCCGCAGACAATCGATTCCTGTTCTGTGGAGGCCCTTTTGAAGGACGGAAAGCTGATCTTGGAGGCACCGCTATGTAGACTATGAAATAGCCAACGCGATCTCCTTAGATTACCTGTTTAACTCGGAAACCTCTTCTTATAACGCTTTAATGTGTCTTCTTTGAAGTAAACCATAGGTTTGGTGCCGTAGCCATTTCCTCGTTTACAAGATGTCTCTCGTCCTCTTTCTCTCTCTCGTCCTCTCTCTCTCTCGTTTTTGTTTTTCGCAAAGTCGTGGTTTGATTTCAATGGACACAGTCTTGTCACTTCATTCTATTCCATCAAATATATTCCATGCAAGCTTACGACAAGTCTTTCTTTGTTCAAGAATAGAATTGGAAACATGTTTTCATGCCGTCTTCGAGTGCTTTTTGGTGTCGGGAGAGAAATGTGCCGTTTGCGTGAATATTCATGATGTTTCCCGGATGTTGTCAAGTCGAGCGTCCTGTACGAGCACTCTTCATTTACTCGCAAACTCGCCATCAGAGAGGGAATTCTACCGCTGCAAACGGCGATTACTGGCCACTCCACGCGCATACAGGACGGTTCGATGAGTTTTAGGAGTGTCAGACAGAGAGAGAGGGAGGCAGGGAGAGAGGGGGAGAGAGCCACTGTGTACCCCACGACAAGGTGGGCACAGGGACGGTGAGTAGGCGCGTGATATTAGACTTGTGCTACATCAGCCCCACTCATCACTCTCTCACCAATTTAAACCCGTTGTCAAGATGGAACCAGGATGACCGAGGGCGGGATCTGGCGCAGTGGCTGATAAAGCCAAACAGCCCGTCTACGCGTGCCACACGCGTGCCTGGCCCGCGCACAATGAACCTGACCTTCACCTGGTCTGCGCGAACCCCAGCCGTAGAGCACAGGACCAAACAACCACACCGGACTTAAGAAGGCCATACCGAGACAGCCCGACGGCGAGTTTACTCGGTAAGGAAGAACAAGAAGCGCCAGACGGACCATCCGACACTGATTCAATCACCTCCTCCCGACGGAGTGGTGACTCACAAAGCACGCAGACAAAACGCCCGTCAGCCATCCCCCGAGAGGCCGAGGCAGCGAGAGGAGAGCAGAATCGATCAGCATGAGGCCGACCAACGTGACATGCCACTTGGGATTTCTAGTCGATTAAGTGCATGTTACACTTTGACAATGGAGAGCCGATCAAGCTCTTCGAAACGTCAGCATCTAAATAAACCTGTTCCGGTGAGGCCATCTTTTTCTTCAAATCAGCTATTTTCGCCCAGTTGGAAGACCGCATCACGGCTTCCAGACATATGACCCGGTTCCCTTTTTCCAAACGCGTTAGAAACAGGACGTGATCTCAGACAAGTACTGTGGTGTCTGGAATAGACAGTTTCCAGAAGCACAGATGAACGGAGCAGTTTCTCACAGCCTGTGATATGACTGCTTATCCCGATACACGATGAATTCAAGCTTCTAGTCGGGGTGAGATCTAGCCAGACTCTTCAAAACACTCGGTAAGCAGCATAGGTGAACTAACACTCTCGTTGTGTGTCGACACACCTGCAACATTGGCAGCAATCTCTAATCATGTTACAAGGACAAAATACTTAACTGAGATTATAATACTAATAAACCTGAGGCCTTGTTAAGAACCAATTCATGCAGTAGGATATGCTGATCCTGGGGTCGTCTAAAGTCTTCTTGAACCATGTGCATATTAAACCTAGCCAAGTGCTTTTTCTGATCGAAAAGGCCTACCGAAAAGGACAAAAAAGCCTGGAATGACCACTTTCGGCGGGTTTTACCAACAAAATTAATTGTGCTCCAGTCCCAGTCCGGAAAGAGGGGAGATCTAAACTGGGCTCCAGCCTATAAGCGAACTGATCAGTCTACCATTTGACGCAGGAACACGGGTTTTAACGCTTGCGATCGCACGCATTCAGTCATTAAGTCGCGCTTTTCGCCTACCTATCAGTATTGGGCTGTCGAAATTCTCCTCTTAGAGTCCTTGTAGACAATCGAACGAAGAAGAGTAACCAAGGCATATTGAGACAAAGATTAGGCATTGCTGTTTGGCCTTGGAATCCCCTGGTCTAGAGTCCTTGCAGGTGACTATATAGAGTCGAACAGGCGGTCATTGGAAGGTGTTACCGACAGACATAATGGAGTTTGAAGTGGGCATTTTCAGGCCTATTTGTTGTCACCATTCAGCCAAAACTAAGAGCGCGAGGATCTTGGATGTGATCCCTACCCGGGTCAGTTGGTCATCGAGGATTTTTAAACAAAAAGCTCTCCAACTTCAGCTACGGGTCCGCGTTCTGATGGTCGCATAGGAGTCTCGCCCACCAATCTGCCTCGATAGTTGGACACAAAGACCATTTCCTTCTCGCTTATTAGAATGCCTCTGATAACAGCGTTACTTGTTATGCAATTCGCAATTTCCCATTCATTTTGGGTGCTCGGATAACTTCAGTTATATTCACTACAAGGACTGCACAAAAGTGCATTACTTATACTCATCTTAACATAAACTGTGTAGCCGTAATTTTAAGTAAGGTTTTTAAATGTTTATGTCTGCTCCACTTCAACTGTGTGTTTTTGTGAATCAGTAAGGCAGGACTTTTTAGATTTATAAATAAACGTTATTTTTAGACAAAGTCCATCAAAGCGGGAGGCATACAGTAGGTGGGAAAACTTATGAAATGTCAACCGAAATTTTGCAATGCGTTTTCGTTTTAAGAAGATTAATTAAGTAGGGTTGTAAAACTGGTTAGCCTACAATATAATTCTATAACATTTCAGTTACCTCAGGATGCCATCTTTTGAGCGGACTTCCTTTCGGCTGCGTGCAAAAACTACACTCTGTAAAAAGTGCCTACTTAAGTGGCATGAACCTTTCTCAATGATTTTCGATGCCCCTAATGTCCAATTATATTCCATAGGAAGCATGCATAAAAATATTCATTCTTTCGCTCATTCGGTAGATAATTGCGTTTTCTTCCAATATTATACTCGAAGGAAGGGTATAATTCGGTTTTCAAAAACTTTTCCAATTCATGAATAATTTTGAACCCGCTCTACCGCTACACTTGGATTCAGGGTTCACAAGCTACAAGCCGTATATTTTCCACGTACGGAAAACCACACATTTGTCTACGATATTAAGAGAATACCATATGGGGTTCATAAACTTTAGCGGTGGATTTGATCCATATTGTTAACTTTACTAGCCACATTGGTAAATACAGAGACATGACGATTTATGAACGGCCATTTCACGGTATTTAAAAGTCCCACAATTGGAAACTTTTTAAAAACCGAATTACATCCCTCCTTCGAATATCAAATTAGACGAAGACGTAGTTATCAACCGAATAAGCGAAAGAATGAATATTTTAATGCATGTTTCCCATGAAATATAATTGGACTTTAAGGGGCATCGAAAATCAATGAGAAAAAATTATGTTAATTAAGTAGCCATTTTTTACAAAGTGCGGTTTTACATGCAGCGGGAAGGAAATTCACTCGAAAGCCAGCGTCCTGGGGTAACTGAAATATTATGGAATTTTGTTGTAGGCTGACGAGTTTTACAACCCAACTTAATTAATCTTTTCGAAATGAAAACGCATTTCGGAATTTCGGTTGACATTTCATGAGTTAGCCCACCTACTGCAAAATCCTAAGGAAGCCATACGCGTTATTATATGCTGTATGGTGGACTGCGATAGACATGCTTCACTTTGAGCTACTAGAACAAGGTCAGACCATAGAAGCAGACCTTTATTGCCAAAAATTATGACGGCTGAACCAAACTTTCATGTCATGTTAAAATCGACGATGCTTTGGGAACCTTTCATAGATCGATTAACGTAACTTGCCCATTAATAACCGGATTTTTCGTGGGAAATTACGCATCCTTTATATCTGACACTCAAATGAAGGAAATGCTTCGGTCTTTTAAAAATATACTTCTGTACATATAACTTGGTATTTTTAACGGATATGAGTATTCAAACCACCTCATACTTCAGGCGGTCAGGACGTTGACTGTACTGAAGCCTTGCCCTTTTTGTAGTCGGTTTGAATCCCCCTGAGGCCGTGGAGTTTTTACAATCGAGTCAAATAAACTAGTCATATCTGTCAAAAATGCCGAAGAAAATGTACGAAAAATATTTTTAAAAGGCCGAAGTAGTTCCCTTATTTAAGTGTCGGATATAAAGAATGCGCAATTTCCCACGGAAAATCCAGTTATTAGTTGGCGAGTAACGTTAACTGATCTATGAGGGATGCCCGAAAACATCGTCATTTTAAAAATGAAATGAAAGGTGGTTACCGGAGAATATTTCATTTTTCAGTCAGTTATATAATCCGCAAGGTTATCAATACCTGTGGCCCATCCTGGGTCCCTTTTGTATGGAAGGAAGTTTGTTTTAATTGAAAAAATCGCGAGAGCTAAGTTGTGACAGCAACGATATTTTCAAAAGTTTTTTTCGCCCAAAAAGTGCTTCGAAGATCTGAACATAATGACAGTCAGCTGTCTCAGAATCAGATGGATAGATTGGGTGGAGTAAAATCTTCCACTCTAAATCTACAATTGTGCCCTGTTGACATGCAGCGGGGTGATACTTTTTATTGATTATCGGCGGATACTTAACGGCAAGATCATGGCTCAGTCGTCATAATTGTTGACAGTAGAGGTCTGCAGTTGTGGCCTGACCTTGTTCCAGTAGCTCAAATTGAAGTATCCAACATATGACATACAGTAACGCGTATGGCTTCCTTCGGATTTTATGTCTCCCGCTCTCATAGACTTGGTTTAAAAAATAATGTCTATCTATAACTCTTAAAAGTCCTACCTTACTGATTTACAAAGACGCATAGTTCAGGTGGAGCAGAAATAAACATTTGAAAAACGTTATTTAAATTAAAACCACCAAAAGGAAATAGCCTTCCAGCATCTATAATAGTTACGAAAAGAGGGTAATGTGTTCATTTGAACAAGAACTTTACTTATCTGGCCCCTCTGATTCACTTTTGGATTATCCACTAGAGATGGCAACAGAAATGAGTGAA